AGGAATTGGGAGCTCCCCAAAGCTACGCCCAAGGGTAAAACAGGTCTCTCTGCTTTCAGCAGCCTCTGACACAGCAGTCTGGAGAAATTAAAGAACTGCATCTACCAAGCACCTCTCTTGTTCACACAGTCTGAAGTAAGAATTCTGGTTTAGATGCTGACGGAGTTATGCTGGGTGCAGCAAGCGTGAGAGGAGATTCAGGTCACTAAGCTGTGGCTATTTTTACAGGAGTCCATTTTTTTTCCTCCAGCTAATTACCAAAACACTGAAACTAGGCTGACTTTTAAAAGGCTCACTTCTCCCAAATCACACCCTGCTTGATCTAAAAAAGGAGAGAGGAAGATTTAGCAGCGATATGTGATGTCTCAGGCAGGATGGGACAGAGGGAATCTCTGGCTTCATAGCTTTGCCTTGCTCCAACACAAAGCTGCTCCAGCAACAAGCTGTCTGTGCCCTGCCCACGGAGCAAGGTGTCTTCTCCTTTATTTTCTGCTCTCAAAATTAAGGGCAACCTTTCCAAAGACTGCAACTTCTGCATCACCTCACATGTATACAGTCTCAGTAATTTCATTCAAGAGGCTGAAAGCCAAGAGGGCTGACTTAACAGACTGTACCAAAAGGTTCAAAGACTTTCATGTGCTCATCCCCAAACCAAGAGCCTCTTCTCCACTCTGGTAGGGGCGGTTTTGATCATGCCTGAAAAACAGACAGGAAGGGCCCATCTCCACACAGTTCTGAACCAAGCCCTCAGGACACCGGGCATTTTATGGACAGAGCGGAAGCATATCACAGGCAAGGCAGGATCAGTAAGGAGGTAAGTTTTGGGAGGCAGCATCGCTACCAACCTCTGCTCCCTGCAGGAGAGCAAAGTGCCATTGTGGATCTTGCTGACAAAGGGAACCAAATCTGAGATCTACCCAAGCTGACTGCTTTCTACCCTTGCTCAGTGCAGAAAGAGAGTAACAAAATGTCAGGATCTGACTGCACTCTGCCCTGCACCCTTAGCCGTGATCATGCACGTTCCCTGAGCTGCAGCAACTGAAGGCTCCCCATCTGGGGATTTGGCTAGTACCTCGTTGTTGGTGGAGTATTTCTTACATGCTGTGACACAGAGCTTCATGGCCTCTACACGCATCTCCTCCGGCATGTCTGAGTGCTGGAAAGAGCAAACAAACAAGAGGAACAAATAAGAGCTAGACACAAGACAACAGTAAGCAGCCCTTGCTTTTGCAAAGGCTATATATAGCAGGAGCCTAGGCTGCTGGCTGTGTGCAGAAGGCAGCTAGTCCCTGTGACTATTAATGCCTGCTTCAAGGGGGTGGGCATCACCAGCAGCATGAGCTTGTCTGCATACTGAACACTTTCACCCTTTCAGAGAACAGTAACTATGAAAATGGCTTACTGCATTACAAGTAATCCCTTCATTCCTTTGTCCCAGCCAGTGCAGAATTCTTTACCTAACATTAAGACTAGCACTAAGTAAGCATGGCTTAAAGGAGGAGACAAATACATTTATCAGTTTTTCTATTATAACATGAAGAGAAAGCATCGTAATAATGCTCGAACCACAGTCCTTAATTATTGCCGTAAGCATAACAAAGAGGTCTAAATTACACAGCCTTTTCTTCCTTTTCTTCCTCTTCTGCTACCTGGCTGGCTAGCAAGATCTTTTACTCCAGCTCCTCTAGAGATGAAAAAGCAAGCTACATCCAGAACACAGGAGAGGAATCCAAAGGCAGCATGTTCAATCAGATCACTTCACTCCAGGCTTCCCTTGGCTGACAGGGGGAACAATGGTGCTAATAAATTTCCCTGACAGAGGACAAGGACAGAGAGAAAGCAGTGGTCATGACCAGGATCCCTTTGCAGGACCATCAGTACACGCGTTCTCACAGCAGCTACTCAGTGGGAGAAATTCTAGTTTGGTAAGAATGAAGGTAGGATTTCATATCTGCAACACTGGTAAACACATACTGCATCCCTCTTCTTACCCTGATCAGTGGAAAGCTGTGAAGTCTTTTATAATCAGCCTCCTCCTTTTTCCCCTCCCCGGTGTCTGCCATGGTCCTTCCACAGTGACCCCAGGAAGGGGCGGAGGGGTCGACTGGAGCTCAGCAAGGCGCTGTGGTGCGATGAGCTGACAGGACCACGGCTCTGTGAACACAGGCAGAGCAGCTTCAGCAGGACAGAGTATGCTGCTTGAATAAAAACAAACACAGGAAAGAGAATGCAAGCTTTGAATAAAAACAGAAAGCAAATAAAATTATGATGAGAATATTGTCCCCTCTCAGTTACTTACTATTTCTCAGTACCATCTTCACATGTCATGCACTTAGAGAGTTATTTTACAGACCATTAATGCAAGTTTTAAAAATGTATCATTTTCCATAAACGAGGCTTTAAGAGCACTGCACTTTCCCAGAAGCACCAATCAAGCTTGAAGGAAGAGCCGAGTCAGAGTACTGCTTCCGAAAAGGGACAAGGGAACAATACATTAGCCATTATGACTATTGATTAATTCCAGAAGGATTTTCCCAGGACACTATCATCTAAGAGCGTTTCAAACTGTGCATGACAAGTGAAGGGTAAGAGTACTTTAGGAACAGGATCAGCGTACATGTCTGGACGGAAACATTTAACAGGAACATCTTGATCTGTTTTGTGCACTTGTTCCTTGCATCCCCGAGCATTTGTCAGCTGGGGAAGGGCCATATGGGAAAATGCTGGACCATGCCTCTGGGCCTTATTACCAACCAACTTCTACCTGGGCAAGGCAAAGGCACAGCATTGACTGGTTGATTCAGAACATTTCACCGCAGTCTTCCCTCTGGTTCTCCAACCCAGAACAAACCACCTTCCTCTCCTACCCAACGGAAGCAAAGGTGATCCCATATTAAAGGAAAAACTAAATTAACACAGTGTCAGGCAACACCACACAGACCAAGTGTTTATGCCAAAGATGCAGAGCTGCTGGCTAAAGCCAAATCTGAGACCACCGGCACTCCCACAAGGGACCGTGTGACCTGTGGACATCCCCACACAAGCTTCACAGGACAGAGCAACTGCCTGGCTGCCACCAGCCTCCCGCAGCGGGGCAAATCCCGGGAGCCGCTTCAAAATCTAGCTTCTCCCCGAGGTCACAGACCAAAGCGTACCGCCGGGGGCTGCCCACGGGTCGGCGGCGGTTTCCCCGGGGAAGAGCCACCAATGGGCGGCTGTATCGGTTAAAAGCCAGGCAGGGAGGCGGCCAGAGGCCAGTCCGCCAGCCATGGGGCCGCAAAGGTATGCCACAGCTCCGGCGGCGGCCGGAGATGGGGTAGGACGCAGAGATCAGAGCCACCAGGCACTAGGAACATGGCAAGGACGACACAGCCCGCGCCCCGGGAGCGGCACCATCACGGGGGGCGGTGGAACACGGTCCGAGCGGGCCGCACATTCGAAGCGACCCCCTCACGCGATCTCGTCGCCCTCATCCCCGCAGAGAC